TGTCTGGTGCCACCAAGCTACTGCACCTACCCTAAATGCTTCAACTTTCAGATTCTTGTGATTGCTTAAGCCATTGCTGTAGTTTCTGTCACTAGCTTGTAAAATTATTCTAATTCATCCATAAAAGATACTTAATAGAAAGATCCTGGCTGGGTCTTAGACTTGCTCTTTAGAAGAGGACAGGCATCATAAGATATGATTGTGTTTGTGGTGAGTCTGAAGCATGAAGGGCAGAAAACTATAATACGTGATGCAATTTCTGGAATTTTAGTAATGTTACATCCACATCTAGAGAAATCCAAAGTACTGTGAAAAGATTATGAATTATGCTCCCTCCCTTTATTTTTCTTTTCTTTTTTAAAAAAAATATTCTAAGCACCTAATAGCCTCTTCCTCTCCTTAATACCTCCAAGCACTAAGGCCTGATATGTACGAGGGTCATCAGAAAGTAGAACGCCTTTCAAGAATGAGACAAGTACAGTTGGAGCAGACATAACCCTGGCAATTACATGCATTTTCTCAACATGAAAATTGTGTTTACAGGTTTTCCTTCCTTCTCAGTAATTTCTGATGGGGAAGAAGAGGCTGACTGATCCAGCCAGTTTCCTGTGACAATTGGCATTTTGGCAAAGTACAGAAAATACCTTCCAGGCAGTTAGTGTTGTCTTGTAGGGGAAGACAGCAAGAAGGTGCTTCTGGATTCCTGGCATAGAGTCAGAGTGAGTCCTGGGAAAGGCTTGGATAGGTGTGGGGAGAAAGAACTTAGAGCTCAAGATCAAGGCCACAGTGTTAGGAGCCCAAAAGTGGAAGCAATTATTAAAAAACGGAGACAGAAAAGGAGCGGGGTGATCAGTCTTGGAGGTGCTTATGGCCCTGGCCCAGGTGAAAGTTGATGGCGGCTGGGCCAGGGAGGGTAGTGGTGATGGAAGGGGTGTCAGATTTGGGATACGCTTGAGGTCTGGGATAGTTTGGTTCACTTCTGTTTGTTGCAAGGTTCCTGGTTCAATGTACTGAGTTTGCAGCACCCATTAGTACTTCCAGTTTTGTTCCTGTTGAGAATTTTCCCTCTGCCCATTGGTACCCAGGAAGGAGATGTCCTATTTCCTCCTATGCTTCCTTTGAGTAACCAAGTATTTGCTTCTATTTTTCATTCCCTTTTCCTGATTATCCCTCTCTTCTGAAAGGAAATGGCCCATGTACTCCACTAAGGAGAGTCTTGACATCCTACCCAAAAGCCGCAGTCTAGCGTTTTCTCTTCTGCATTTATGTTATTTTCTCATTTTTATGCTTAGCAATGAAATAAAATATCACTTTTTTCCCCGTGATACTTAGCTATTAAAAATGCCATCCCAGTTACTCACACTGATTACCTGTAGAACTATAAATGAACTTACAAATAGTATTAATAGATCAAAACCCATGTGCTCGGGTCACTGCGTGTGGAGCCCAGCTGTTGTGAGGACCAGCGCCAGTGTCCATCACAGGATTGTTCCAACCAGCTGGCTATGTGGAATCCCTGTGTTGTCATGCCCCTCACTGCCTTCTGTGGATCACATTTAGTGATTAGAACCCTGGCTTACTATCTGGGTGACCTTGGGCACTTTTCATAATGTCTCTCTACCTCAACATCTTCACCAGGAACAGGAGAATAAAACATACTTCTCATATCAAGACTTAGCTCAAATCCCGACATATAGAACATGTTTGATAAATGTTGCAACCATTTGATCTGTGTCGTTGTTAAGTTTGTAACTGAAGGCAATTACAGTAGATTAGAAGAACACTGCTATATGTTTCTGCCATCAGGAAGTGGAGCCTATCTCCCCATGTCTTAAATGCATGTTGCATTGATCCACAGAACTTGATGAAAGCAGACTTCATGTTGCAGTCTTCACAAGGGTTTGCAGCTCCCACCTTCCCCCACTGGATTGGGATCAAGCTGATCAGACACACGAGCAGACTGTCCAATGCCATGACAAGGGGTTGAGGGGAGGCTGGAAAGGGATAATAGTCACTCATTTGTGGTGGATTATCTTATATCTGACATTGTTCAGAATTATGAGTGCATGGTAACAATAAAAATATGTTTTATTTTCAATTTTAAATTTGTATAGTTACCTCCCCCTTGAGCATCTGATCCTGAGATGGACTGCTCCCATCTCTCTACTGTCATGACACGAAGAGGAGAACCAAGGATCCCCAGACATCACCAGCACCATCTGCCAAGCATGTGGGTGGGGCCAACATAACCTGCCCAGCCCAGCTGACCCAGCTGACTGCAGCTGCGTAAGTGAGCCAAGAAAACTAGCAGAGAAACCACCAGTCAAACCACAGACTCACAAGAAGTAATAAATTGTTGTTTCAAACCATTATATTTTGGAGAGCTCTTTTATACTCAATAGATAATAGAAATCAGAATAAGTAAATCTATTTAAAGTATCTCTCTAGACCACAGCTCAGATCTAATTGCCTTCCACCTTTTCCTCTATGTAGATCTTCTTTAATTAGAGATAATTACTTTTTGACCGAACCCCCGCCTCACCAGGGCAAAAATATAGACTCTGAGAACAAGGGCATCTGTGTTATGGATTCCTCTCTCCTCTCACATTTTGGTTCATATAGGAAGCAGGTTTCTTTGTGCCAGGGCATCAGTGATGTTTCCCAGAAGCCCCAGGCTCCAGGACACTGATGCTAAGTTAGTTGGTTCCACTTCCCCTGCTGCTGAATGTGCTGGGACATCCAATGCCAAGGTACAGATGTGAAATATAAGGGTTCAAATCTGTGTCCACGTTTTAATTGGATCCAAGATATTTCTCCGTGTACATCAATGCTGACTTGACAGGAAATACAGACTCTGTCCTAGAGGTGAAGATAGGAGGCTGGACTCAGAATCAGGGTGATGTCCCCAATCACTGCCAGAGTCCAAGACAAAAGGAGCATTTATTGTACATGGCAAAGGACATGCACTGAGGTGCGGTGATTTTTGTTGAAGTAATGAGGTCTGACATCACTAATCAGCCCTGTATTCTAATGAACCATAGGAAATAATATCAAAGGACAGAACAGGAATTAGAATATGAAGGTCCCTACATCAAGAACAAGGTACAGCTCATTTAGTTTCTGGGTATTAAAGGGACTTATGACTTTGTTTGCTTGTGGATCTCTTAGTGATGCACACAGTGAGGAATCGTGTTATGATATTTCTGCATCTGCAATGAGTTCTGTGACCTTATTCTGATAATAACAATGGAAGAGGGAGATTACGAATAGCTTCTGAATATGTTTAACATACTCTTCTTAAATAGTCTTACAAAAAAGTCAACAATTTCACAATCACAGAAATTTCATGGGTACAGCCCAAAGTATTTAATTTTCCCCCACAAGATCCATTTCAGAGTAAGCTGAATATCTGACAGCACCACACTCTTAGACTTTACTATGTTTTTCCTACGCACAAGGGTGTTGTCCTGTAAATTTTGTAGAAAAACAATACTTCATGTAGTCCCTAAGT